GAGAGAGAGAGAGAGAGAGAAGTAATCTTTGAACAAAATTCTTATTACGCACATGTACATGTCATTATGGTGCGTAGCTGTAGATATTATGAGCTGATTCCAATCACATCAGGATTTTTTCAAATTTTTAAAGTTGCTCATGACAAAAGTTATACATGTGGTGAATTTATATTAGCAATTCAGCAGCCATGTTTCACTGCTCAGAACAAACTTAAAATGTCAGACATGGTTGCTTCACATACTGCCAACCCTCCAATATTAATTCGCCGTCAATATTTACAATACTTTTAATGTATTTCATTAATACTTACCAGTTGGTTCTTCTTCATTGCTTTCACTTGTAACCTCTCCTTCCTTCTATAAGTAATATACAAACAGAGAGACACTTAATATTCCATTGTAAGCTTTTCTCTATATCCATCCCTTCCCGGTCCACTTACAGTAGGTGTCTTTGGATCTTTAGTCGCCATTACTTCGCCTAGTAGGCCAGGATACGATCAGAACCAGAGAAAGAGAGAAACGCTTTTTCCACGAGGACAAGAAGCTCCACCCACTGGGTCCACTGAATAAATTTGCGGCTGGGTTTTCATGAGATTTTCCCGCGCAAAACAATATGCACACAGCTCCATGTACATGTATCATGTAGTACTATCAATCTAGATGTAGTAGGCTAGTAGCTCAGTATTTTCATTTATACTCTGAGTGTACCAAGATATATTTGTACTGTGGCTTGGCATTCAGTCAACCAATACAAAAAGGTGAAAAGCTCTTCCCTTCAGTTGATCTATATATCAATGATTGACAGTACATGATACTGGAATAGTAACATTAGGACTTACTTGTAGTAGATACTTTAATTTTAGAACCAAATAACCAAGCAGCAGTTCTATGCAAGGGTCAGACTCCGCCTGACTAGTTCTTACTTCAATGCTGCCATTTTCCTTTAATATCTGAATCACGTGATATAAAAAATTGGATGGAGTTTGCAACTTGGAAAGCTTTAAGTGCAAGAAAACGCACAAAATATACTAAAATAATAGAAAACTAACTAAAAGGCAGCAGTAATAATTAGAATATCAAAATACAAACAATTAATCAAATCTTCATCCTTTTCAATGACTCTATTACTTGAGCCATAGTAGGACGAGCTCTAGGATTAGCATTAAGTCCTCTTTGTATGAGAGACTTCATATCAGACCAGGAGACACTACCAGATTGTACTTCTCTCTCTGCTGTCGTCATTTCTGGTGGTGAGTACAACGTCATTTCCATAAGGAAAACAGAGTAACTGTACACATCCATTGCTGGACTGTGTTGATCAGGAATAGGAGCTTCTGGTGCAGCATTGCAGCATTGCCTGGCATAACAGTACCAGTACTATCAACTTGTACTAATTTAGCTGTACCATAATCTGCTACTTTAGCTTCATAACAAGCAGCTCCAGTGCAAGGCTTTAATAATACGTTAGGACTGCTCACATCTCTGTGAATAATAGGCTGAGGCTTAAACAGGTGAAGGTAGTTGAGGCCTAAAGCTACATCTTGAGCAATACTCAGAATCTGTTCATTGGTTAGTCGGTTTCTGCGAATCTCCTGATTAAGACTAGTGCTCATCAGCTCGGTCAAGATGAGAGGATTATCCACTTTAGTTGCACCAATAAACTGGACCAGGTTAGGATGACGTACTCGTGATGCTATACT